GAGGCTGGCAGGGAAATAAGACCTTTGTTTCCTTGATGAAAGCAGGAGACATTCAATTTCCTCTTCCTGGAATGGGGTTTGCCAGCCTCTTCTGCTCTCTGTTTAGGAGGCCTCAAAGTCAGGGAAGTTGGATGAGACTAAAACCACCAACCTGTTCACATTGATTTTCTCTGGAGAAAAGGGGTTGAAAAGCTTTGGGTCATCTTTGCTTTGGGTTGTGGTTTGCTGGGATCTGCTTTACTTGTTCGCCTCCTACCCAAAATCATAGGGGAGGTTGAGGCCGCTGTTTGCAGAGATGCTCAGGCTGAAGGAAGGGAGGGAGGGAGGGAGGGAGGGAGGGAGGGAGGGAGGGAGGGAGGGAGGGAGGGAGGGAGGGAGAGAAGGAGGGAGGAAGAAAATAAAGCACAAAAAATTGTTGAATGATAAAGTATCCAGGTTGGAAGGGACCCCTGAAGATCATCTCATTCCAAACTCTGCTCTGTTGGCCAACAGTTTGACGTAGCATGAGGCTGCAACGCTCCTCATTGCTGCTGGAAGTCCTGCACGCAGCGAACCCAGGCAATCACTCATGTCCTCCAATGCTGATATCTGGCTAATGTCAGGCAGGGAGGATTAAAGCCTCCCTCTCAGGCCATCTGCAGTTCCCAGGCAAGCTGACAGCACCTTGGACTTCTCACCCAGGACAAATCCTAGCCCGGTTTAGCACGAGGCAGCCAAACAGCAACTCGCCTTGTCACACCGCGTGCTGTTGACAAAGTTATCGCTTTCCAAACAACCCAGGGCTGAGCCAGCGGGGCCCTCCACCCACTCCAACATGAGAGCATTTCCTGCTGGCCCAGGGAAAGGTTACTGAGGATGCACACAGAGCTGAGACTGCTGCTGCAGGTCACGGAGTCACGTTTGAGTCAGAAGGGATCTTAAAGGCCACCTGGTCCAACAACCCTGCAATGAACAGGGACGCCCACAGCTCCATCGGGTGCTCAGAGCCACATCCATCCCAACCGTGGATGTCTCCAGGGACAGGGCATCCACCACCTCCCTGGGAAACCAGGCTGTGGGGCTGCACTTGCTTTGTATCAGTGTTTGAGGTCTCAGAAAGGTGTTCTGAACCAGGCAGGCAAAGAGCATGAAAGCCCAAGGTTGGATGTTAAAACTGGACTGTTGTACAGGGGATGAAAAGGCACAAGGAGGAATGCGCTCGAAGTCAACTGGGAATTAAACACTGAGATGCTGTGGCTGTAAAGAGGAGTTTCTGGCTGTTTGAGTCAGTGCTGCAAACTCTCATCCCTTCTTTTTCTGTGATTTGCTGTGCTAGAAAGGATTTCTACACTTTTCTTAAATACTGCAGTTAAGTTGCAAATAATACACTGAAAAATCTAGGTGAAATTACGTGGCCCACATAGCATAACGTGTTAAACAAGAACTAAAAACTCACCCCAGCCTGAGACTCACACAGTTCTGGCAAATGCAAGTGGGAAATGGAAACGTGGACAACAGTGCATGGACATTAAGCACCCTCTGGATAGAAGACCTGTGAAGCAAAGCAGCTCAATGCTCTCTCCTGCTCTCTCTTCACATGGTGATCTTGAAGGACAGAATAATTAAGGGTGGAAAAGACCTCTAAGGTCACCTTGTCCAACCATCCACCTACCACCAATATCACCCACCAAACCATGCCCAGGAAGCTCGTCACACCTCATCCAGCAGCTGCCTTACGCACGTTACTAGCAGCTCTTTGCGACCACCGTATCTCTTTTGCTCCAGCACCAAGCCTGTGGTTTTGGCAGAATAAGCTGAAAACCTGCTGAAAGCTTGTGGTTTTGCATCAATCTGGGTAGAGAAATCGCCTGGTGTGCCTGTTTCTAAGCAGCCACGGGGACTGCAATGAGTTGTGTTGCATGTATGCAATAAACACCTGCACCACAGCAGTGGTGCTGGCAGGGGAAATGGGAGAGACCTCATCGCCCTTTAGACCAGGCATCAAGACGGTGGAGCGGTGGGACAGAGATGAGGTTTAAATGCTTGTGAAAGCAAGGAAGAACTCAGTGAGATAACAGAGCACTGAGATGTTATCAGAACATCTGCACTGTGTCCATCACTCACCCATCTTCCCTTGAGGAACTGTTCCCTCTCGGTCCCACACACCACAAAAAGCACAGAAAATAGACATGCGTCAGGTTCCTCTTTCCACCAGGGCACTCACGTCTCCAATTACAGCACGGAGGATGTTATCAGGTTGCAGCAAAATTTCACTATTGCCATAATTTCGCGGGGAGAAGAAGATTAATATGAGAACATAATTTCCACAGCCAGCAGCCGCGCTCCAAGCGGTGCTCGTTGTGTCAGACAAAACCACAGACGACAACCCCAACTCAGCCAGGGCTCTGATTTGGGACCAGAGCCTGGAAGCAGTCTACTGAAAGCAAGACCAGAGGAGCGAGAGCTGGAAAGAAGGGGCAGAGACATTTCTGAGCCTCACCAAGGAAAGGGAAGGTAGGTGGTGATGGGTTGATGGGTTGATGGTTGGACTTGATGATCTTGGAGGTCTTTTCCAACCTCAACGACTCTACGATTCCTCCATTAGGAAATACCCTGCAAGAAAACAAGATTTTCTTCTGAAAAGCCTCATGCTTGCAGCACATTTCAGTCCCAGCTGGAAATAGAAATTGCTGGGGACTCCAGACAACAAAGCCAACTGGAGGAATATCCCTTCCCAAATGGAGAAGCCAATGGAGACACACAAGCCGAAAGGCAGAGCTGGGATTAAACTCTGAGCGTTGCACCGTGTTGTGTCTTTCCATAGGAAGGGAGGAAGATGAGGAGAGAATTCTTCTCACCAGCTGGATTCCTTCTCCTGCTGCCCAGCCCTGGGTCCGACGCCAACACCTTGTGCAAAATTCAATGCACCAACCTGACAGGTTTTCCATCCACACCAATCGCACGTTCGAGCTTAATGGTTTTTCATGCAGATGTAACTTAATTAACTGACTGCCTGATTACATCCTATATGAGATTTTTAGGCAGCTGAGACCAGTGCACATTTGCAGAGCTGCTCCTGCCAGCTGTCATGTGCTATGCCACCTCAGGACGAGCTGCCCACGAGTTGTCCATGATTTCATATTAACACCTAAGACGAGACCATGGAACTGCAAGTATATATGTACTTTTTCTTTTCTTTTTTTTCAAACACAGATGCAAAAAATACAATATTAGACATGAGACAAGGGTGGCTTGAGCAAGTTGATGTCAGCTCACCTTTCAAGTGCCATCCTCCAAAGTCAGAATCACAGAACAGTTTGATTTGGAAGGGACCTTTAAAGCCAGCTGGCTCAACACCCCTGCAGTGCACAGGGACACACACAGCTCCATCAGATGCTCAGAGCCCCTTCCTCGTGACCCTGGGTGTCTCCAGGGATGGGACACCACCACCTCTCTGGGCAACCTCTGCCAGCACCTCACCACCCTGATCATAAACACTTTTCCCTTATACCCTGTCTAAATCTCTCCTCCTTTAGTTTGAAACCATTTCCCCTCATCCCATCACAACAGACCCCACTGGAGAGTCTGTTCCCCTTTCTCACAACCTCCCTTCAGATACTGAAAAGCTGTTAAGTCATCAGCTTTCACTGATATTGAGAGTGTTATCCCTCTGGCACAGCGGGATGAAGGCCTTGCTGGCACTGAGCTAACAGCACCAGCCCCTCTGACACAGCCTCTGGCCCCGCACGCAGAGCATGGCCCACTGCTGGCAGGTGGACCTGACGGAAAGCCAGCACTGCTGCCAAAAGGCCAAAAAAACAATAATTAGAGCAAGTGTTAGATTTATTCCCCATCTCACCTCTCCCCAGCCAAGGAAACTACAGTTAGCTTTGCCTAAAGAAACAGGCTGAGCTCGTTTCGGGTAGGCAATCAATACAGGCACGCAGCATCGGGCTGTGGAGTGCTGCTCTGCAGCTGGGGCACAAAACATCCTTCCCTCCCCATGAGAGCCACTGAGTTGTCCAGGCAAAGCCAAAAACACAGCTTACATTCTCCTCCACTCGCAGTTTTGGGAGAGAATTTCCCCTGCACAGGAGCAGAGAGCGCCTGCTTACAGGAGTGGGGAAAGCAGTGCCAGCCCACACGGGGTTCCTCCAGCCAGGTTTTGGCTCAACAGAGCTGTGTCAATGGGTCCTTTGTAATACCTGAGTACCAGAAACTAATTTTCGTTTATTTTGTGCTGGATTTTTTGGTGGTAGTGGTTCGGTTCTATTCAACAAAGCCAGTGTAAGCCAGAAATAGATCTTGTTTTCCTGTTAAAACAAAGACAACCCAGGCTGGACCTGATACTGCTGTTCTACAGGCACGTCAAGGAGTGATACCCAGAGCAGAAATTGAAATGAGGTTTTAACAAAACAACTTCTAAAAAGTGACCCATCAAAGTTAGGCTGAACAGAGTCCAACAGATTAAACCCAGGTGAGTCGATGCACTACATACAGAACAAATCCCTTCTACAACAGAGCTGACATCTGACAACTAATCCCTTAAAAACTGGAATCATTTTACACCACACACAAAACAAGCTGATAGCAAACTAACCAGCAATGAAACCTCTCAAAAGGTGGTTTATTGGCAAGCTTCAGCCCTTTCTCATCTGGGGACAGAAGGACTAGGGCAGGAGGTGCTTTCCACCCACCTCTGTCCATTTGGAAAGTGGCAAAGTGTGGTAGGAAGAGCCCAGGGTTTGCCTAGAACAAGTCTGCCCCCTCCAGCAGCACCTCTAGCAGCAGGTTTCAATGCAAACCTTTTCCATACGTGGCCAATTATTCATTTTAATGCAAGAACATTTCAATAAAGCTGTTCAACATCGCAAAACAGCTTGAGGTAACATTTCTCTCCTGTATCTTCCCACTTCAGCTTCAGGAGCGTACAAGTTGGCGTCTTGGCATTCCGCTCTCTGATGACAGACAGATTGGGTGGGAGAAAACGATTTAAAAATAAGGAAAATCAGCACAAAAACCTGTTGCACCGACGAAGCCTGGAGTCCTGTTAGCTCTCCTCGCTGCACCGCTTCCCACCAGCAACCTCGCATCACGGACGGTCTCCCCGATGCTCGTGCAGCAGTCTCCTGCTCAATGGGAAGGCAACATTTTTAGGCAGACGCATGTTGCTGATCAGCTGGGATCACAAGAGGTGCTGGATGAGCAACATTGCCTCCCCAGTGAGGCAGCACAGCCCTTCCACCATCCGCAGAGCTCCCCAAAGCCAGCTGTCTCCCAGCCCCACCGGTGGCCGGAGCTGTTTTTCCAGCTGTGTGCCATCTTTTTGGATGCAGTATGAATAACAAGAGCAGTACCACCTTGTGTGAAACAGAGCCAATGAGGCAGCCAGCTCTCCTCGCTCAAACATTCGCCTCTGGATCAATAAGGGCTTGATGAACTGCAAGCTGCAGGATCTGGGGGGCCGGGGAGGACGTGCTGGTTCAACTTGGGCTTGTAAAGAAAGCAAACACAAAGGAGCATTAAGAGAAGACACAAAACCTTTGAGTGATACTAATCAGTTTTATTTTATAAATACAGATGAGCTTTCCCGCAATTACCAAGATAGTTTTAATGTGTCACTGACAATGGGATACTTTGTCTTGGCTTGTTTTAAATACCTGGTCAAGCAAGGAGAAGCCAATGCTGTTGTGCTCGCTATAAAAATAGAGTGGGATATGATCTTCCAAAACTAATATTCTCAAAAAAAACAAAACCTTAGGAGTTCCTAGTGAGTGGGATAAGATTGTAATGCAATGTTTTCTCCACTTGAAGACATTCACAGGCATTTAACAGTGTCACAGCTGTGCAGGAACTGAAAGGCTCCTGACAGTTTAAAGCACGCTGTGATCTATCTTCTCACCTTCCAACTTGCTCTTTGTTTCCCTCCCACTATGCCGTTTTCAAAGTCTTTTACTGGGGAAGAAAATAAAATCACAAAAAGAAGCTGCAGTCTGTACAATCCTCCCATCCTCCATAGCAACGATGTTGGCCGATGCCTTAATTAGCCCTACAGTGTTGTCCCTCCCCTTCACACCCTCTTTATAAAAGTGGTAAAAATAAGCCTGGGAGCAATTCAAGGTCTATGAAAGGTACATCCATAGGAAACCCAGAGAAGCTATGTGACAGACAGATGCAGAAATCAACTGTTGTATTTGACACATGAACAATCCCAGGGCTCCAACGGGAACAGCAACGCGAGAAAAATAAACTTCATTTGGTTGGGTGCCACCTGAGAAAATGCGCAACTAACAAACAAAATCTGAAGTCCCGCTGATGCTCTACAAACCTAATTACGTGCCGCCTAATTGCTCTGAGACACTCTGAGTTTGCCTATGGAACACTGCGACTTCACAACTACTCTTTGGGTTGCTCCGAAAAGTCACCATCATACACAGACTACTGTCGTCGTGATAAAAGAAAATTAGTGTGACCACAATCCACCCTGGGCTGCTTCAACTGCGCCTGATTTCACCCCTCAGTGAGCCCAACTGACTCAGTACTGAATTTTGGCTAAAACCGAACTGCTGACAGGAGTTAGCAAGGAACAATTAGAGGATCTCCTGCCCACCTCAATGAGAACGCGCTGTGTTGGCTTTGGGGATTCAATTCTGGCTCTCAGTGCACCAAAGCGCGGTGGAAATTCCCTACTTATTCCTTCTGATGATGAGATGGCAGTGCGTTAAGCCTTCATGGATGTTTTCCACAAGGTTTCAACAGAAGAGTTTATTCAGGGGGGAAGATACTCACGAATGTGTCCAAATTCGTGCCTGAGTTTGCAACAACGCGTTACAAAAGCGAGGTCTCTGCTTCTGAGTGCTTCCACCTTACTGAGACAGACCAAAGAAATGATTCAGCAGAAAGGTTCAATCCAACAACTCATGGTAGGCACAGCCCAATCCAACAACTCACAGTAGCACAATCCAACCCAACAATTCATGGTAGCACAACCCAATCCAAGAATTCATGGTAGGC